AACCCTTGACCACGCCCCCAACCCTTGACCACGCCCCCAACCCTTGACTGTCCCCAAACCCTTGAAGATGTCCCCAATCCTTGACCATGACCCAACCCTTGACCATGACCCAACCCTTGACCACGCCCAACCCTTGACCATGACCCAACCCTTGACCATGACCCCAACTCTTGAAGATGTCCCCAATCCTTGACCATGACCCAACCCTTGACCACGCCCCCAACCCTTGACTGTCCCCAACCCTTGGCCACGCCCCCCACCCCCCCGCGGCCGCCCCGCACCGTGACCGCGCCGCCGTCCCCGCAGGGCATCGGCTGTTACATGTTCCGCATCGACGAGGCCGAGGTGGTGGACGCCACCATGCACGGCAGCGCCGCGCGCTTCATCAACCACTCGTGCGAGCCCAACTGCTACTCGCGCGTCATCCACGTCGAGGGCCACAAGCGCATCGTCATCTTCGCCCTGCGCCGCATCCTGCGCGGCGAGGAGCTCACCTACGACTACAAGTTCCCCATCGAGGAGCCGGCGGCCAAGCTGCCCTGCAACTGCGGCGCCCGGCGCTGCCGGCGCTTCCTCAACTGAGCCGGGGGGGTCCCCGGGGGTCCCTGGAGGTCCTCGGGGGTCCCTGGAGGTCCCTGGGGGTGCCTGGAGGTGCCTGGGGGTCCCTGGGGGTGCCTGGGGGTCCCTGGGGCTCCCTGGGGGTCCCTGGAGGTCCCTGGGGGTCCCCGGGGGTCCCTGGAGGTCCCCGGGGGTCGCTGGGGATGCCTGGAGGTCCCTGGAGGTCCCTGGGGGTCCCTGGGGCTCCCCGGGGGTCCCTGGAGGTCCCTGGGGGTGCCTGGAGGTCCCTGGAGGTCCCTGGGGGTCCCTGGAGGTCCCTGGGGGTCCCTGGGGCTCCCCGGGGGTCCCTGGGGGTCCCCGGGGGTCCCTGGAGGTCCCTGGGGGTGCCTGGAGGTCCCTGGGGGTCCCTGGGGGTCCCTGGAGGTCCCTGGGGGTCCCTGGGGGTCCCCGGGGGTCCCTGGAGGTCCCTGGGGGTCCCTGGGGGTCCCTGGAGGTCCCTGGGGGTCCCTGGGGGTCCCTGGGGGTCCCTGGAGGTCCCTGGGTGTCCCTGGGGGTCCCCAGGGGTCCCTGGGGGTGGCGGGATGGGCGTGCGGGAGGATGGAGAGGAGCTGGAGGTGGTTTTGGGGGTGCTGGGAGGGGTTGGAGGAGGTTGTGGGGC